TTGGCTGTTGTTTTTGTATGTTTGCAAACATACAAACGATCTACACATAATTAACACATGAAAACCAAATAGACTAAACAACAACATAGTGCACATGCTAGTACTACATAATACAAAAAAATATATACTCTTAATTAATTTTCCTAAGATATACACTATTCATTATTTTTTTTATATTAAAATCACTATTTGAAATGTTGTGTGAATTCCAAATTTAATACCATGGAGTAACAACAACCAATCGAATCGGATTGCCCATTCCTTTTTCGGTAAATCAATTATATTATATCATAAGAAAATTACAAAATATGAAAACATTTTCTCGATACAAATAAAAGACATTGAAAAACAATTTCGATGAAAAAGTGGAGATTAACCAAACTTTCTTTTCAGAAGTCTTATAGGCCGAGAGATAAAATCTGTTATGTTCCTCTTTCATATATTTGTTGATGACTATCATCTTGCTTATGAAACTTCAAAATGCATATCACATTGCTTTAACTATAAAAAAAAAAAAATTGAATTGTTGTTGAAGATGTTTCTGAATTCTGTCTTATGAAATTTATTAGAACATGCTGAATTCTGGCTGTTAAGAACTACGGTTTCCTCTTTCATCGATCCTTCCAAAGCATACATCTCCACAAATTGTAACTCTCATGCGTGATATATAGTTGCACATCGCCATCCAAACACTCCACAATTGACTTAAACACCATAAATGACGAGGATACAAAGACCCAATATTGTTCTTGGATGAACCGAGATTGAAACGCCTTGAGTGTTGCCCAACTAGAAAATAAACCCAGAATTGCTCTTCATAACTCCATGGAAGGAAACAGAAGATGCAAAAACCAAGCATTATATCTTGTAAGTAACACCGAGAGATATCGCTCAAAGTGATGATGTCATTCATACATATATTATTTAAACCTAATCTGATAAATTATAATAGTAGAACAAAGAAGAGAAGTACGACGGCCGGCGAAACAATACAGAAGCGGTGGTTTTGTTCTTCGAGACTTGACCGTCGTCTTTCTTTTTGGGATTGCCCATTCATCTTGACCTTACTCCAAAGAAAGAGAAAAATTGAAAATATCGTAAATTTCTATTTGATCTCTTTTTTCAATGTCAAGTCTTACAAAAAGATTTACATTTGCAAGAAAATATGTTCAATGAATTGACTAATTTAATGTATCCAAATTCTATCTGTGTATGAAGAATTTGTAGCATTTAACAACTACTTCAAAACATGATGGGTCACTTAATTTCCAAAAATTTTCAACCGGTAAAAAAACTAAA